TCTCTGGCTTGGTTAACAAAAATTCAGCTTCAAAGAGGAAAGAGCTGTCTGTTTACTTGAGTGCAAAAAAAACTCTGCCCTGTATGACAAGATGGGATTTCAACTACATGTAATTGTATCTGTAGGTTGTCTGCCAGTTTTTTTAGGGGGAGGGGGTAGGTTGGTCGTTTTGTTTGGTTCCCCTCCCCCCATGCAGCTCACAATGCAACAGATGGTTTGATTATTCCCTTCTGCCAGACAGGAGGCCAATTGCACATTTATATTCACCCAGTGAATGACCTGTTTTGTTCAAGCAAGCCTGCATGAATATTTTGGTCAAACTGTTTGCATCCAAACTGCATGAGCCCCGTGTACCTGTGTGTGCTTGGATGTTCATCCTGTTTCTTCTGTCCTTTTGCCTTTTCCTTTCTGCTGTCTGCACTACAGCATCCCCGTCACCAATGGAATGGTCCACCAGCCAGTCTTCTCTCAGTTCAAAGTGCACGAGATGGCGCCGCGGAACTTTGCCACCAAGGCCAAACCGGGGGTGGCCCAAAGTCCGGCGGCGATGGTGAACGGCAACGGCATGGAGGAGAAGCCCTCGCCGAAACCCAATGGCGGCCACGCCCCCACTGATACCATAAAGTCCAGCCCAGTTAAGGGCGATGTCGTCACAAACGGGGGTGGGAAGTTGCCACTGACAAACGGGGGGAGTGAGGTTGCGGAGGGACAAGGAGAACGGGTCATTGAAAGGACAGAAAAGGAAATCAAGAAGTTTAACGCTGCCAACGTCAACCAAAATGGGAAACCAGAACTGAAGACAGTCTACACCAAGAGACTGGAGGAAACCTTCATTTTCTAGACACCATTAGCCTTTTTGAAGCATGGTGGACATGTAGAAGGGTACTGTTTGTAGTGGATGAATTTTAAGTCAACAAAAGATTTTACCCCAACCAAATTGCGCCCTCCTATTGTATCCGCCATACCTCAGTAAGTTAATAGCAGACTTGTAAATTATTATGTAAAAAATGGCCAATAAAAATACAAAAAGATAATTGCATTTTTGCACAGGTACAACAAAATATTTTTCTTCAAAAAACACCTGCAAAGATTTGGCAACATCCATAATTCTGATTTTCCTGACGTTAAACATAATGTTATCACCTAAGTTAAAGACCTCAAAATATTTGTCATAATGAAATTCTCAATACTATTTATGCAGAATTGAACTGAGATATTTATTCACAAAAGAAAATACGATTTATTCATTCAGCATATAGTGACATGTATTCAAAAAACAACGTCGTGTCAGAACAAACTAATCAATGCATAGTCTTGTAGTATACAGAAATGTTTGACTTGATTATAATAATTCATGTAAATTTGTACAGAGCAGCATGAATATTCAATAGATGTGGTATAATAACTTATGACGGTCATTCTTTAATTTTGGGGTCCAAAAGTGTGACATTTGTGTGTCCCTGCTTCACCTAACCTGTTTAATTTGACAATATATTCATACAAAGAAATCAATGAGATTGATTTCAAACTATTTCTATTTGATTGGCAGGTAATTTGCATTTATAATTCATTCCTCTCAGAAATTAGAAAATGTGGTCTGACATTAGAAAAATCACATGTCAGATGTGACAGGGACACAAACAAATTGGACCCCTGATTTATGGAATGACCCAATATGCAGAACTTTGACTGCCTTTTTACATTTCTTCCCCCTTTAGCCTACTGCAGTCTGTTTTATATTCAGCTTTAGATACTCACATCAGGTGTATTTATGAGAGTTGAGTGCCTTTCAAACTTCCCTAAATAAAAGAAGTATTTTCAGAATCTGTCTTTTTTTTTTTCTTTTTTTTTTTCTTTTTTTCTGCCTGGAAAAACCCAGTCCTGTTTTTATCAGTCACTTAATGTAATGAAGCAACAATTTGCAACGAAACAGTGCTTCTTAAAAGCAACACTTAAAAAGGGGTATATACTCCAAGATTCTGGAATTAAATTGCGTTTGTTTTCATCTGTAATGCATTTCTTAATGACTGATGTCTTCCAAACTTTGCCTGCTGACAGGTATTGCATTTTTGTTTCCTGTTCTCTTATTGGCTGAATAGGATTCTCTTTATTTTGTTTCCTGTTCTGCTATTGGCTGACCAGATTTTCTTCGAACATTCATTTCCTTAACCCTCATCCAGTCTTTATTTGTGATGTAACCATTTTATGACTGGCTGAACATTTTTATCTCGGGAAGGTGTGTTGTTATTTCGAAATGGTATTTTGAGTTCCAATTCTAGGATTGATCATTTACAATAATGCTTTGTTATTGCGTCATTTTTTCGAGAGTATTTCCAAAGCTTCGCTTGAGCTTCCTTTTGGAATGATTAAGTGGAAAGAGTCGGAAATATCTTATTTATTTACGCTTTGATTGCTGGGGACCATTTGGGGTTCACTTTGAATCGAAGACAAATGGGACTGTTGTCACCACGGAAACAGAGCCGTGGAGCCTGGAAGAAAACGTGGTGGTTGTCGCTTTTTGTACATAGGGTGTGGTGAAGTTTGATTGCAAGTTGTAAATCTTAACATGTTTGTAGAGAGCAGCCAGTGAATAATTCAAGTAATTTAGTAGATGAGTGATAGAAAGTCGGAATACATTTTGCAGTCGGTGGAAGTTGTTAAAAGCCCGTTTGCTACAGCACTGTGGAGGGTATTCAGTAGCAGCCATGTTGATGGGCAGCGTTGCATATTTCACTAAACGCTGACTTCTAAGATCCACCTGTTCACACGAATATCAACTCCAACTTCCGCGCTGCCTCCCTCGAAAACAGATAAATGCTTGTGAGCCTGAGGACATCAGCTTACTTCCACTAAGTCACTTTGACAGTTTGTTTATTTCTGCAACATTCATGAGCAATCTCTGTACACCCCGAACCAGTTACCATGCGGTGCACCCCTTCACACTTGGGTGTGGAGTTGAAAGGTTACACAACATGCCGGGGGAAAAAAATCATTGGAACCATGTAATTTACCCGTCGGCAAAAGGGCCGTAATTGAGTCCTACAATAAGTCCCTGGAAGTCCGTCACAGGCCATCACACGTTATTAAGTTTGAAGCCAAGTCACCGGTTATTCAAGGAACCTTTGGCCGAACCATCGTTCCTTGTCATTCCGTCTGATTCTCAGCATTGCTGTGCTGGGTCAGTCCATTTCCTTTTTGCAAATAATGCCGCACCTGTGGGGACGGAGTCGGTCGTTGGTATCCCTTTAGTATACAGTGTACAATTTACCGTGCCTTTAACTCCGCTGTAAAAAAAAATCTTCCACAACTTCGAATACCTCGGCAGCATCGTCTTTGAAATCTCACCGCATTAGGCAAACGATCAGCTGAAATTTAGATGTGTATAATAGAATATGATTAACCGATTTGAAAATGTTTGTATAGATTCTTCTGGGCTGGCCAGGTATTTTGTTGAAGTTTCCAAATAAGTTCACGTGTAGAATACTGTGCATTTCTTGGCATATTTCCCATGTCTGTATTTAATTTTATATTCACATTATAAGTATTGTGTTTGTACGCATGGCATGGAGCAATTTTGTGTACTCGGAATGGGGGCGTTTGCGTACTGTGTGGCTATTCTGTACAAAGCGCACTTTGGTGTTGGTTGGAAACTGCAGCTATCGTGCTTTCCTTTTTGAAAGGCTGCAAAACTGGGTATATCAATAGCTGTGAACTATGCAATGATACCATGTGGAGTATCGAATTCTCATTCTCCCCCGTGCGATTGATACGTAGTATGCAAGTTGATTGAAGTGTTCGCCTAATAAATGATGATTTTTTGTTTCATTTTTTTTTAATGGTAACTGCAGTTTGTGACCAAGCAAAATATATCCCTTGTGGACATTTTGGGGGAGATATTCTTGTTTGCTCTTGAACCATTTAGATGGACTAGAACCACGTTTCACGCAGATTTTTTTGAAATTAGATTTTACCTGCAACTCAGTTTTCGCACTCTTCTGAGGAAACTGGATCTAACTCGATTTAGCCTTACTACACAGTTTCTTTATCGTTTGAATTTATTTAGGGATATTCAATATTTCGTTCTAGGAAGGAGTAGCTTTTACCTGAGTAAATCTCATAGAGAAAAAAATACCAAATTGTTGAGGTTTAACGTACCGTGTTTGCTTGGATTGGGATTGCGACAAGGAATGAAAGCAAGAACGTTTAGAACTGCATTACTTTGAGGGGTTCATTGTACAAAACATCTATTTATTCAACTAAAACAATTACATTTATAAGTTTGATACAAAGTACGACAAGTGTTATTGTGTGTATGGGCGTCGTAGTTTATGCTAGACATGACAAGGAAGGGTTGGGACCTATACGAAGTGAAGCATTGCTGTGGAAAGACTGTAGCTCTCACTGTGCAAAAGAGATGGGCGTAATAAATGAGCGAGGACCGGAAGTATGTTTACATGTACCACTAGCTGCGTTTTGGGCTGTCGAAGTTGTGTTCCAAAGACGGCTGTTTTCCAAGACTCAAATACATGTATGTAGGTTAACGATGGTGACTGATTGAAATCTACAATGTCAACGAATCCTAGGCGTTGATAAATATTGATGGAGTGATAATAAGCCATTTGCGAGTTAAATTTGAATAAAATCTGGTGTACTGATTTATCTGACTGCACAACACATTACGATTTAAATTTCCCAGACTAGAGACACTGTTGCTATACCTCGTGATTCGGGGCAAGCTTTCGCATAGCGACCACCATCTCTGGAATGGACTGGTTCCTTTGTGCCCTTCTTATCCATTGAGAACAGTGTATTGTTGCAAGGCGTCTCTCATGTAACTAAGCAAAAGCTTGCCCCGAATCACGAGGTATAGCAACAGTGGTTTTAGTAAGGAGAATTCAAGTTGTTATGGTCACGTGAATTTAAAGCACTCGGTGTACCATTTGAAGCAAGATAGGGGACGGGAGACCCCCCCCCCGCTTTTGTGTTGGTCATTGTTTGATCGGAATCTCAGGAATCCTTTACAGACTTCTAGGGGGATGTGTTAATTAACAATAGTCTAGAGTGTGTATGGGGATTGGAAAGGTAAGGGGGTACCCCTCCGTCCCACATCTTGCCTGGTATACAGTGTACCAGATTTGGGTCAAAGTTAATTCGCAAAAGGCTTATTGGAGCACGTGCGCGTGATACCCTGCACAGTAATTTTTATGCGGTGAAGGGGGACTCCCCCGTCATGGGCAAGTTCTATACACTATGGCTATTGTGCCTACTGCACCCCCCCGGAAATCTGAAAGAATTCCAAAGATTGCATCTACACAAAAGAATTAGACACAATAGAGGGGACCCCCCTTTACCACATATCTTGCGTCATATGGCGCGTGTACAGACTTGCAATATTTTTTTAATATGAGCTCCCGTGCTTATGAATAAAGTTTAGAAGCTTGACGAGCGTTAGTCAAATCTGCGTCTCTTAACAATATTGTACCACTTCACAGCTGCACTGTTGCAAATAGGAAACCGTTTCACCCCGGTCAGGAACTGCATTCAGTTTGAGAAGGCCGACCTCTACAAAATTCAACCAATCAAAAAAAAAAAAAATGACATTCGTAGAAGTAAAGGCTGTTTCAACCGCAGAGGTTCCGGCAAACTCGAATTTAATGCTAATCGTTTTGCATTGGTTTCACTTGAATGAAGTCGACTATCCACTCCGAACGGAACAAAAGAGGGTGTGTTTGTTTTTTTTGGGGGGGTGGTACTCGGGGTTACCATAAGAAATAAATTCCCATAGACAGCAATGATAAATCCCCATACTTCACAATTATTTTTAATAATAATACAGTATTAATACAACTCTCTGATATTAAAACAACTCTCACAGGTGTCCAGGCTGCACAGAAATTGATGATCGACATGTCCCCTTTCGTTTTCCTTTCATTTTTTGGGGGGGGGACCAATGAATTTTTCAGAAATTTTCTCCAGAAGCAGACTACCCCTAAAATGAAGAAAATGTCCTTGCCCAGAAAATTGGCAATTTTGAAAAACCATCCCTCTGCAAAACGCCCAAGTAGTGCCACTTTCGGACCCGATTGCACCCAAATTGCTCAGAATTGGAAGCCCATAGTCCGGGCCAGAGGTTCAGTGCCATATTTCTCTAATTCCTCAAGTTCATGGCCCTCAGGGCTCTCTGGTACAGAATATTTTGCGTGTATAACTTTTATTAATGAGCTCAGCGGCGGACATATTTTGGGCCTTTTTGCAAGGGGGCACCTCCACGGCATCGACACGCCATGAGGCGAAGAAGTACATGTATATATGCGCGTTTGACGAGGAGTTCGCCGAGTATGCGTAACGTAGCATTCCGGCTTGCGTACATACAGAACGCGTGCAAGAACCCGTTTGTAACCACATTCGCCGATTGGGGTGCACTTCAACTCGGAGCGCCTAGTCGACTTGAAAGCGAACTCGGAGCAGATAAACCCGTCTTAGATTAAGTACGATCATTCAAAATTTGATGCGCAAAGTTAAAACACTACTATCACCAGTTTTGTAGTACATGTATAACGTGTCTGCAGGTGTAGAGATTATCTACACCATT